TTGATTGATTGATTGATTGATTGACTGATTGATTGATTGATTGATTGATTGATTGATTGATTGACTGATTGATTGATTGATTGATTGATAGGGTGATTGATTGATTGATTGATTGATTGATAGGTTGATTGATTGATTGATTGATAGGTTGATTGATTGATTGATTGATTGATTGATAGGGTGATTGATTGAATTCGTTCAGTTACATCGGTTGATTCCGGACTTCGTGAGGGTGATGGCGGAGATCTATCAATGAATCAATGAATCAATCAATCAATCAATCAATCAATCAATCAATCAGTCAGTCAAACAATCAATCAATCAATCAATCAATCAATCAATCAATAGAGACTATCACTCGATTAAGCACTCAATGAACAAATGCGTCCGTATCTAACTCCATGGCTGTCTTGGTTTGTCCATGCAGCTTGAACCTTTGCTGCATGCCAGGCTGACGCAGTGGTCTCACAGGATTCGACACCAATTCAAGGAATTGGAGAGTTAGCAATCAGTCATTCCTTGGCCAGCGTTCATAGGCGGCCAATCGGTATCCTGTCCCGGTCGTAGTCATGGCGACAGGCAGTAGACGGCCACGAGGGGGGCAGCTCCCTCCATTCGTGCCAGTGCCTGCCCACAAGCAAGCAGAACTGAGGCGAACACATGTGGTGTGGGAGTGGGCGGAAAGGGGGCAGGAGTGGAGGTTGACGGGCGGAGGCAACTTCCTCCTGCGCTGCCGACTGTGTGGGGAGGTGTTCACGGGTTCGAGGTCCAGATCAGTGGAGCACTTCGCGAAACTGAAGGCACACTGCCCCCGACGGAATGGGGAGATTTTGTATAGACTGCAAGCGGCTGGTGCTTTGTTGAGGGATGCATTGTCACTCAGACTCGCTGCTGAGCACACAGACAGGATGGATGGAGAGCTTGCCGCGGAGGACCTGCGGGAGTTGGACAAGCCATGTGACCCGGTGCGGGATTGTGCAGGAGAAGTTGGAGACGGTGATCGTGGTGAGGGTGGTACACAGCAGGGGCAGGATGCCGGGACTATGACAGATGAGTTGCGGAGCGTTGAAGGTGTAGGAGATGGTGGAGGGGATGGAGGGGGAGCTCGGGTTACTGGCACGATGGCCACCACCTCCACACAGGTGGTGCCGAGGAGGAGACATACGACCCTAGATATTCATCTAGGGAGCAAGGTCCAACAGGATCTTGATCGTCTGTTGGCCCTTGCTATCTATCGAGGTGGAGTGCCCTTCAACTGGTTGCGGTTGAAGGAGACGCAAGACTATTGGAACTACATAGTCACACTCCTGCGTCCTTCGATCGTGCCGGTGCCACGGCTGCTGACATACGAGGGAGTCCGCACAAGGATGATGGACATAATTTTCCACGAGGTAGTAGCCCTCATTGCACCTAAAAAGGCAAAGTGGGCTACCACAGGATGCACGCTGCTCACAGACGGGGCTACTGACACAACCAACAAGCCCATCATGAACTTCATAGCAGCAGGAAAATCCGGACCCATCCTCATCCGGACCATCAACATGTCACATCGAGAGAAGACGGGAGTCGGCCTGGCAGACATATGGGAGGGAGTCATCAGAGATGATATTGGCATTGACAAAGTGAATTCCATCTGCACCGACAACGCAGAAGTGATGAAGACAGCCGCCGACATCTTGCAGTCACACCCCGACCCGGCTATGCGTCGCATACCTTGGATCCCGTGTGCAACACATTGCTTGAGCTTGCTGCTGAGGGACATTGCGTCGCAGCCTTGGGCGGCCACTGTCATGAAGAAGGCGCACAAGTTAGTCAAGTTCATGCGCAACAAACAACGAGTTCTAGCACTTCACAAGGCCATGAGGAACGCGCTAGTACTGAAGCGACCAGCGGAGACGCGATTTGGGACATTGTTCATGATGCTGGAGAGGCTATATGAGCAGAGGGGTGTGTTAGACAAGTTCGTGTCAGGGGAGTTGTGGGCGCAGGTGCGGTGCACTGGGGATGTGAGGAGGGATGAGCCCGAGGTGCGCAGGATGTGCAGAGACGAGTCTTGGTGGGAGAGGGTGAAGATGGTCGTGGACGTCATGGCCCCGTGCTACAGGTTCCTCAGGGATATGGATAGGGATGGGTCATCACCCACAGGATTGTGGGATTTGGAGAGCATATTGCGGGGGAGGGTCAGGGGCCTTGGACTGACAKRGGATGAGAGGAGGGCGATCATGGATATCATATCCGACAGATGCAGGATGATGYGTCAGCCTGCCCATGCGGCTGCKTATCTGTTGGATCCTCGSCGTCGTGATATCTCGTTGCTGACGGASCGCAGCAGCCCAGTCGTGCAGAGCGCGCTARACCACTTGGCTCGCTGTCAGGGTGCAGGTTGGGAGTCTGATTCTTTGCATAAGCTTTGGCAGGCATTGTGGACTTTCCATTGCGAGGACCCTCTCTATTGGCCGAAGAGTGGAGCGCACTGGTGGGACGAGTTTGCGGTGAAGGACGCGGCGGAGGGGGGGATGCATGCAGCGATGTGGTGGGAGCTTCACGGTGGTCAGAAGCCGAGACTGCAGACGATTGCGAAGAGGGTTTTGGGTATGTGGTCAACGGCCAGTCCTTGCGAGAGGAACTGGTCCACCGACGATTTCATCCACACGAAGAGGAGGAACCGCCTTTCTGCAGAGAGTGTCGAGAAGCTGGTTTTCATTCACTGGAACTTGTAGCTCCTCAGTGCCAGCAGGAGGACGGACAGGCGGTACATTGATGTGTGGGAGGACCAGGTGGAGGACCCCGTGGAGGAGATCGATGGTGACGACAGTGTCCCCGCAGAGGTGCCAGAGGAGGAGTGGGAGGAGATCGACAGGAGGAACAGGAGGAAGGAGGGCCGTAATCGATTTGGGAAGGGGAAGGCACCGATGGAGGATGAGGATGAGGATGAGGAGGGTGATGAGGCCCTTTGGCAGGATGCGGTGTGGATGCACAGAGAGATGATGGAGGCGCAGCAAGAGCGGAGAGACGCAGGCCGTACGTTGCCTGAGGACCAGCATGACTTATTGGACGAGTGGGGTGGAGCGGACCCTCACACCGATTTCAACGCCTACATCGGGCAGAGTGTGGATACCGTGAGGAGTCTACGGGGGAGGGTTGGGGGTCGGCTAGATTTGGAGGAGCTTTTGACCGGGGATGGCGAGGCAAGCTGCACAGAGGTAGGGCAGGAGGAGGAGAGAGGTCAGCACATTCCACATTCGTCGATTGCCGGAGAGGGAGGACATACTGGGGGTGTTCCAGTTGATGCACGTACGTCGGCTCCTGCAGCACCCCATCACGCTGCTGAGAGGATTCTGCGAGGGGCAGAGGAGGAGATGATTGGGAGGGAGGGTCATCATGCGGATGAGAGGCTGGAGGACACACACCACGTGCGCCAGGTCGCTGAGTAGGTTGTACATCGAGGCGGGGGTTCACAGAGCATCACTCAGTCGGTTGTCCAGAGGGTCGTGCTACGTGGTGGGGATGGTGATGGACTGGTGGCGGGCGGAGGTGGAGAGCATAGGGTCAGTGACGTCATTTGTCCTACAGTGGTTCATACCTCGGAGCAGAGGATTGGTTGTGCTTCCTCAGCGCACGTGAGCTAGAGGGTGGATGACAGGGTGGACCCATTACCAGCGTCTGTCGCAGAGCTTGGTGAGGAGCAGAGGGTGGAGCAGCGGGTAGATGAGATGGTGCAGGATAGGGCGGAGCAGAGGGCTGACCAGAGGATTGAACACCGGAGAGAGCGAAGGGATGGACACAGCTTGGAGGTTCAGGTGGACGTTACCATGGACGAGAGCGTAGTTCGACGGATGGAGGACAGGGGTGTAGCATCTACACGCGAGAGTATGATCCAGAATGAGGGTGCTCAGGTTGCTACAGAGGGGGGGTGCGGGAGGGAGAGTGATGTTAGACTGCCGACTGCCTCATTCTATGGGATTCCGCCCATGCCCACACGCGCCACACCATCACCCGATGCAGCAAGTGTTCATCTTCTCGGCAGATCGACGACAGTTGGACGTCATGGTGATGGCACTTCATCTCCCGCAGTGTCCCCTGGCAGTTCCCTACACCACCCCCCATCGGTGACTTTACGACGCCCGGCTGCGCACGCGAGTCGAGCGTCCACTTCGTCAGCGGCGGCTGCCCCTCCTGTGCGTAGTCCATTAGGCATGCCACCGCTCCCTGCATGACTTCCATCAGCCATTGTTGATAATGTGAAGACAAGTCGTGCAGGCAGGAAGAGGAGGAGGGAGGATGACGGAGGCGCATTACCACCTCCTCCACGATCGCAGGGTGGCACAGGCAGACCTCGTGGTCGCCCGCGAGGCTCAGGATCAGGCAGGGGTCGAGGCAGGGGTCGTGATTCATGGGCGATGAGTGCATTGGGGGCAGACGACGCGGGTGAGGACGATGTTGGGCAGGGCACCACTGCATGCACTGATGTGACGGTGGGTGTTCGCACGAGGTCTCAGGCCTCGAGTGGAGTTCGCAGTACGGAATCCACTCGTATCATTGACAACGATTCAGATGCGGCCTCAAGTGATCGCCTTTCTGGTAGTGACTACGTGGATGAGAGGGATAGTGAGACTCATGCCCGGGGAGAGGACCAGAGTGGACATGACGATAGCTCAGATGGTAATGGGCACGAGGAGGACTAGAGGGATGTTCACTACTGAGCTGAGGGATGTGTTCTGTCATCGATGGTTGTAGCATGGAACTTGGGCTTTGATGTTTCAATTTCGTGTATCTGTGACTGACATTGATGACCTTGCCTTCATACGATGCGCGCATTGTTGGCCTGTCATCGAGGCAATATCTTGTGTATGTGTGTGTGAAATTGCTAGTCAGTCAGTTGGTTTAGCCCCTAGGGTAAGGTCATCATCACTCTGTGTGTGTGTGTGTGTGTGCGTGTGTGTGTGTGTGTGCATGCATGTCACAGTGTGTGTGTGTGTGTGTGTGTGTGC